CAACTTTTCTGTATTACATTTTCGCTCCAAACCATTCAAATGATATTTCAGAATCACGACTCTGTCATATCAATTTAGGGGAAGGTGGGGCGAAAATGGCCACGTTTGGTCTTACGCGAAAAATAGTACAGAAAATGATATTTTCACTCGGAATGCTATATACCATTCGAAAGCTACAACCTTCAGCTACAAAACGCTCATGGTTTGATGTACATATCTCACCTCATACGGGCGCAATCTGGCTCAGAGTGCACCAACCTCGAAATCGAAAATCTCAAAATGGGTGGGGCGAAAATGGCCAGGGGGTGGGGCGAAAATGGCCAGTCACATTTTGACGCAGAAAACAATCAGACATGACCAGATATTGTGTGCAAATGAAATTTTAATGCTTTATTGATATATCTTGAACTGTTTCGTACATGAAAAATCTTATTTCATCTTAAATTACTGAATTTCTTGAAAAAAAATAAAAAATGATGTGAAATTGTGTTTTTTTTGAAAACAAATGGAATTGTTTTTGAGATAAAACCAAACAAAAAGTAGAAAAAAAAACGTTTCATTCTTCTTCTGAATCGGTCTCTGGTTCAGAGAAGCAATTCACGCATGTGAAAATGTTGTCGCTGGTGCGAACACAGGCCACGTGAGCCTTGCGACGGCACACGATACAAAGTTTGAATCGCTGATTTTTGAGCAATTTGTCACAGCATATGCAGCAAAGTTGATCCAAATCTCCAAGTTCGACTCCTGATGGGCCAGCAATGGATGTTGATGGGCCAGCAATGGCAGCAGGTTGTGCACGATCAGTTACCATACTCGGCATAAATTCATGTTCCTCGAAAATATTTTCGTTCAATGGAAAAATTCCTGTGCACACGAAACCTGCAGTCACATTTTTGTGTGTTGACGCCAATGGAAGCGCATCTTTGACGATGCCAGGCACATGATAAATAGTCATTGTTGTACCAGGATTGCTTGTAACCCAATTGTCGCATTGTGTGTTGACGACCTTTTTGAATGGTCCGAATACTGAGCGATCTAACGGCTGAAGTTTGTGCGAGCAGTGCGGTGGCAATGATAAAACAACGATGCCATTTTCCTTGCAATAATCCAAACCCTTAATGGATAAATGTGATTCATGATTATCCAATATCAAAAGCACTGGATTCTCCAGTGATGCATGTGCATGTGCTTGGAAAAATCCGAGGAATTCATAAAATTGTGGTCCATTCATCCAGCCGCTTGGATTGCCAGCTCCACCACAACCAACAGGGCCACCAATCAAGAAATTGTTCTTAAATTTCTTACGTGGGAACACAAAGAATGGTGGAATGGTATTGCCTGTTGCTGAAACTGCAACTGCCAAAGTTACTAATGTGCCACGTTCTGCTGACACAATTCGACCAACTTGTTTCATTCCTTTTCGCGAAACAACACGATCTGGAACCTGCACAGTCGTCACACCGGTCTCATCCATGTTGTAGATGTTTTGAGGTGGGAATTGGTATTTGTTGCAAACCTCTTTGAGTTTTGAAAAAAACTCACCAACATTGTATCGGTTGAATGCTGTTGCTCTGGCCAAACTTGTAGCTTCGGGTTTGCGAACAGAAAGTTGACTTTGTCGACGTAAAAATGTACGAATCCATTCAATTCCGGCCATTTCACTACGAATCCATTGAATTGGCATTGGCACATCCAATTTTTTCGCATAATCGTAAGCAAGCGCACGAACCTGCCGCGTGGTCAAACCAAAATACAAATCATTACATTTCAGTAAGTACTGAGCCAGTGCACTTTCAGCTTCGGCACTCAACACCTAAGCCAAACAGAAAAAATAAAATTAATCAAAAATCGCATTAATTCTTCAATCATAAAATTATTCACATTCAAATTTTTTCGTTCAATTCACATTTTAATCATTCAAATGATACTTACGGTTTGGAATCCTTTTGACACAGTCGTGACCTCTCCTTTTGAAGCTTGCTCTTCAGTTTTATTCTTCACCCAGTTTTGCAGAGTTGTTCTATTCACACCATGCTCTTTTGCAGCCGTCCGAATCGTTTTTTTGTCTCGAAGCACCGAAAGAACAGCTAATTTCAACTTTTCTTTCTCAAGTTGTGGCTTTTTGCGCTTATAATTGCGAACCATTTTGCTGAAAATAACTCAAAACAATTAGTATTCACATCGAATGTGCTTTAGAAACGTTTAGAAACGTATACACGGCGTCGGTCTGTAGGTATAAATGAGTTTACAGTGACAAATGCGGTGGCCATTTTCGCCCCACCAAAAAGTGGCCATTTTCGCCCCACCGCGTCGTTTCGATTTTGCGACGTCACAACACAAACAAAAATTATTTTATCATAAAAACCACTAGTACCATTCGATTCAGCGTGTCTTAATTAGCTAAAAACACTCACCAAATATTATTTCTCCTTAGAAATATATTCTACAACCCAAAAACTGTGGAAAAAAATTTTTTTACTTTTGATAAAAAAATCGACACGTTCACACTCTCCGACGACTGACAATCAACTGATTGGACGAGATGTCAAATGAATTCATGCCAATAGTAGCTGATGCTCGGGCGCACGTATAGAGTGCTTACCCGATGCGATGTGACGTCTGGTGTTCGAATTATTGCGAGTGGCCATTTTCGCCCCGCGGCCATTTTCGCCCCACCTTCCCCTATTCTAAGAATCGGACATTTAAACAGTCCGAATGCAAACATAAACAGTTATAATTGTTTATGAATGTTGGTTCATGGGTTATCGAAATGAACACTTTCAAACGACGTGTTTAAAGAGAGGTCTGCGAGTTGCAATCATTATCAGCATAATGATATGTTTCCATAAAGCCGTACGCATATAAGATTTTTCGGTAGTCGGTTTTATACACATAAAAGAATTTTATATGGTATAAATGATTCAAAGGCAATTCGAACTAATACAAACACGAGGTAGTGTTTACATTTCAGTGAACCATGATATTGTTTTTGCTAAGTGTAAATGATTAATTATTGCTGACGTATTAAAATAGCTCGACATTCGTCGTTTTTACATCTTTCGTCGGCATTTTTGAAGCAAGAAAAGAAATAGAGAATCAAGATTGAAAAATAAGTACAAATAAGTACAAATCAGGACAGAATTGAAAATCAGTGAAAATCAGTACGTACTGATAAAGTCGTCGAAAATACGCTCAAAATCAGTACTGTACTGCTAATATCAAAACGGTTGGCACGGCCGTATTCAGCCACACGCTTGGGTGAGCTCAGCTCACCCAAA